TTTTCCTCCTTCACCTCCTCCTCCTCCTCCTCCTCCTCCTCCTCCTCCTCCTCCTTCTCATCCTCCTCCCTCCGCCCCCTCCACTCTCCCCTCTCCACAATTACTCAATATGAAAATACTCTCCCTCTTCCCCTGATGGCGTCCGGGTGATGGCCGCGCATTCTCCGCGTACTGTTTTTCAACACACAGGATGCCCGGGAAATCCCGGGAAACGACTCTCGCTGAGGCGCCGGCGTCATTTTCGGGCCGAACGCCCCCCGCGTACTGTTTTTTAACACACAGGATTCCCGGGCAACGGGTTTTCGCATGCGGTTTTATATATTTATATATGTATATATATATATATATATATACATATATATATATATATATTGAAAAATGATGCTCTCGCTGAGGCGCCGGCCTCATTTCTGCTCCCGAATCGTTCCGAATCGTGCTCCCGCTGCAGCGTGGGCCTCATTTTCGGATCGGTGTTTGGCCTCCGTCGTTCAGGATGGCGTTCTCGCCCCAGCGCCGGCCTTTTTCTCGCGCGCCCATCCGCCCGCCACCACCGCGCCGCACCACCACCACCACCACCACCACCACCACCACCACCACCACCACCACCACCATCACAACCACCACCAGCACCAGCACCACCACCAGCACGAGCACCAGCACCAGCACCAGCACAGCACCACCACCACCACCACCACCACAACCACGCACACACGCACGCACGCACGCACGCACGTGCACCACCACCCACTACGCACGCGCGCGCGGAGCCACAGGTCCGCTACGACACGCGTCCGCGGATAAAGAAAATCAGCGCCATGGTAAGGGATGGGAGGGAGGGGTAGGACGTCAGATATGACGCGAGCGCACCTAGCTTGCCCTACCCCTCCTCCTCCTCCTTCTCCTCCTCCTCCTCTTCCTCCTCCTCCTCCTCCTTCTCCTCATCATCATCCTGCCCTTGGGCCTCGCACGGTCGCGGACGGACGCGGCCTCGGCCCGCGCCGCCACGGCGGCAGGGGAACCCACCACAGCCAGGGGCGGATCGCGCGACGGCATGCGTCAGGCTGCGGGCTGCGGGCAGCCGGAAGGTCGGGCTGGGGCTGGGCGGCGGGAAAGCGCGTATGTTGGGTTTACGCCTGCTCCCCTGAAGAGGAAGGGAGAGGGAAGGCCGCTCGGCTCCAGACACGGGAAAGGCGCCTCATGTAGATTGGAACCTGGGAACCGAAAAGATACAAACTTTCAGGGTGCGATGGGTATCGATCTGGCCACGCGCAAGGGACTGGGCATCCCCTTGGCCTCCCCACCCCCAGACTCCCGACTACGTGATGGTTTCGCAACGCGCCTCCCCGAAGTCTCGATCTCTTCCCCAAGACCAGCTGTTTTCATCCTGAGCCGTTCTTTGACAGTCCGAGGGCCCGGTGAGGGCCCCGAGAGGCCGAAAGATTCGTGTTCACGACGCGAAGGGGCGTGTGTCCTGCAGGCCTCCCAGTGGCGGGACCTTCTTAGGGACCGTCGGCGGGCGGCGGCGGTCCGCGTTGGCCCTCAGTCGGACCCTCCGCTCACGGAGCGACTGCAGCACGCCCTTGCCGTCGCCGGAGCCTGCCCAGCCATGCCCAGGAGGGAAACGAGACGAGGAGAACCACACGGGAGCCCCGCGTGGGGGGAGGGCCACGGGCAAAGCATGGAGGACAGCGAGGGGGGCGACAAGAGAGGGGGGGACGAGGAGGGCAGCGACGACAACAACGAGTGGGACGAGGAGACGCAGCAGAGGGGACCTGTTTGAAATGGATCTCCACGGCGTCCCAAGAAAGCGCGGTGCTATTGTACAGCAGGTAGATCTTAGTATAAGACATGTAGAGGCGCACTCGCCGTCCATTTCAACCAAATCAAGCGGCCCCAGGACTTCTGCGGATCCCCGGGGCCTTCCTGGGATGAGACATCTGCCCCTGTTGGCAGTCTGGTTTCTCATTGTCTCTGCCAACCGTATTTTTTAAGGTAGTGCCTTCAAGATAGGCACCAGTATCGTAGGAGCGTTTCCAAAGAGCACGGCGGTCAAGAAACCTACCGATCCGCCAGTGGCTGCGCAAGGGAACATATACCTCCCTGCTGAGCGAGCATGTGCCGAAGTATAAAAACCTGCCGCCGTGCTTCGTAACGATAAGCAAACCAAGCGGAGGGGCATTGGCGGTAGGAACGCGCGTGCGACACTTGAAGACACCTGCGAACCAACCGCAACTGTCAAGACACATCATGGCCAACAAATCGTCATGGCTACTTACGGTAGTCCTCGTCAATGGGGTCCCGAGACAAATTGCTCGCAATTTCAAACTCGCGAAGCGACAGGTCAATGCGTCGCCCCATCCAAGTCTCGCCGAGGTTGCCCCGTTCACTTGTTTCCGTCGTGCCCATGATGTGCACTGGCTGTGCCAAGCCAGGCTGCATCAAGACGGCGCCAGACGGCCCCAGGTGGCCTGAAGACGGCTCTAGATAGGGAGACCCTCTAGAAGGCAATTGTGCCTTATCGCCCATTCGATTCCGATGGGTTTCTGAGGTGTCAAGATGGCCCAAAAACAACCCAACGGAGCCCCAAGATAAGCCCAGGAGGGCCCCACGACGGCCCCAAGAGCGCCCAAGAGCCTCCCAAAACGGCCCCAAGAGGGCTACAAGACGGCCTACCGGACCTCCAAGATGGCGCCAGGACGCCCCATGACGGCCCCCGGGACAGATTCCTGAATGCGTCAGACGGGCAACGAGCGGCCGTAAGTAGTCCACAAAGCCTCCAAAGAGGCCCCCAGAATTCACAAGAGGCCCCCAAGAGGGTCGAACAGGCCCCAAGAAGCCTTCAAGAGGCTCCTGGGAAGCGCCCAAGAAGCCGTGATGAGGTCCGAAGAGAGCCCCAATGTGGGCCAACATGTCACTTCCTGCTCATCCTCCTTCTCCCCCTCCAGTCGCGAGATTCACCGAAGGGCTCCCCCGTGGCTCCAGATCTGCGGACTCAATACGGCGGGACCCCTGCGGGCCCCGGCTGTGTTGGACTAAAGCGCAGAAGATTGGAAGGATTGAGACTGGATAGGCAGACTGGAAGGCTTGCCATGGCCTAAGTGGGCTACATTAGGGCCTCAAAAAAGGTTTTCAGGGCGGCGCAAAGCGCGAGTCATGGCGGCACTTCAATTCTCTTGGAAAGCTCATTGGAGGCCCGGATATGGCTCCAGGGCGACTCCAGACGGGCCCAGCTGCCCCCAAGATGGGACCCAGAGGGCCCAAGACGGCTCCAAGACTGACCCTGACGGCCCAAGAGGCCGCCCAGACGCCCCCAGAGGGCTCCGAGAGGACCCCCGCGAGGGCTCAGAGGCGCAAATCATTGACTTTCCCTACGTGTTAGAAGGACTGTAGCGTTCTCGCATGCTGGAGCTTCCGACGCTCGAAGACGGCCCGCGGGACCTCCAGGCTCGCTCCACGATTCCCTGTGGTGCGGGTCTTCCCCTCCGGAGGGCCCGTTGTTCTCCTGCACCGCGGGCTCCACACTAACGTGTAGATAACTTTGGAGCTGGCACGTCGGGACCGTGGAGAGATCGGCAGGTCATTGCAGCTGGCTGGATAGACGCGGGGCCATCGCAGTCCAAAAGAAGCAATCCCACCTCAAGCCTCCTCATCACTCGGACGGTGGTCCCATTAGCATGAGCAACCGCTGGCCTCGGACACTCGTGAGGGGCAACTTTAGGGGGAGGACTGGCTCACGGGGGGGGGAGGGGACATCGACCTGCAGTCCGCGATACATCGTCGATAGATCGGCGATAGGCCCCCCGAGCGAAACGCAGGTTCCTGGGCGGGACGGGGTCACTATCGGGCCCCTCCCAGCGATGAACGATGAATGGGTGATTGGAGGCCAATGTGTCCCCCCACCCCCGCTGAATTATCCACCCCTAACATTGCCCCCGACCTTCCGCCCCTTCAGTTTCGGGCCAGAACTCGGGCATCCGGCGGCCGTTCGGCGCGATCCGGCGATCCGGGCAGCCCTGGACGACCCTCGGCGAGGCGCAGCTGCCGGAGAGAACAGCGAGACTGGACAGCCGCCGAGAACCGACGAAGACTCCCGAAAACCCCCAACTTCGAACCTCGAGAGGTCACCCCTGACGTTGCCCTGATCTTCGAGCTTCGGGGGACGGCGCAAGCCTGGGAGCTCCGGCGCCAGCTCTGCCAGCCGCTGCAGCGCGAGGTGGTGCGGCGCCGTGCCCTCTCCTTGCCTGAGGGCCGGCCGCGAGCGCGCGGGAGGCTGCGGACCCCGCCCGTGGAGGAAACTCTTTGGAGCTCTCTGTCGAACCAGCCGGGGTAGCGGAGGCACCCAAGAGACTGCACCGCCTCGATACGAGGCAAACCCTGCTCGGCACAGTGCCCCACAGATGCCGTCGCTATCCGACTGGGTCATTGGCCAGAGTCCTGACCTCCCCTCTGCAGTCCACGCCGGCGCGCGCGGGACCCGCCGCTACGTGGAAGGAGGAGGACGAGAGGAGGAGGAGGAGGAGGAGGAGGAGGAGGAGGAGGAGGAAGAAGAGGAGGAGGAGGAGGAGGAGGAGGGGGAAAAGGAGGAGCGGCACTCCCTGGGAAGAGACGAGATGAGGGCAGGCAGCCAGAAAACGGACGAGAAGAAGCAAAAGCTCATCCTGACGTCACCTGAAGATGGCGCCTACGGTCGGCGACCTCCTGGCCGTCCGTCTGAGACGGGCCCGCGCGAGGTGTCCGAACACGACAAGTCCCCACTGTCGAGCGCTTTGCACGTGCGGTAAACCGATAACATGGCACCGTACAAGCAGGCAGCAGACGTGAGCTGCTCAGCAGAGAGCGGGCCAGGGCCGAAGAGCCCGACACGACCGACAGCCGAGGCAGGCGAACGAACGAGGAAGGCGGAGGAAGCGAGCCAACACTAACTCTGAGCACGGGCAGACGTGATAGTGGAGAATCTCAGATCCCGCTGCGGCAAACTGGCACCAGCGGCGCCGTTTCGTGGGCCCCCGAGAACAGAGGATGGTGCACCAAATTTTCGTAATCACCTTTAGGACGGCAACAGCTAATGTCCACATCCTTGCGTGATGTGTGCACGGAAGGATGTGCGCGAACAAAAAGGAATGCATCTAATTCACTGGGCTGACTGCAGGTGGACGTCACCTGTAAGCCAGCATTGCAGAGATGAGCGTGAAGTCTATCTGGCCGAAGTTTTCGGTGGTCGGCGGGTCCTTGGCGGGTAAACAAAATACATGAAAAAACTTGCATCTGGGCTGGACCCCCCTCCCTGGCGCGGAGCGCACCAGGGGCGGCGCTGATGGCGCCGCCAGGGGGGCCCACGGCGACCGAAACTCAAAGAAGAATGAACAATCCCGTCCAAGGAAGCAACTCGCCGCCACGCAAGCCGTGCCTTGCCGAAGCCGTCTGTCTTCCAGTGGCTCACATGGCGGATCGCTGGCGTGGGCCGCGACGGCATGGAGGCCCAGTGAGGTGCAGCTCAGAACAAACTGGCTCACAAAGAGCACGTGCGAGATCGTTAAATCGAGCTGGGCATCCGAGAGCAGAGGATGGAAATACTTAAGACGCTTGGCTAGTTCACAACGAGCTGAAATATTACACATGCCCTGCAAATACTTGTCTACGCGTTTCTGGAGAGGAGGCTTATCAAAAAGGGAGGTTGGGGAGGGCGTTGAGGGCTTGGAAAGTTCGACGCATCTGGACCACGGCGCTGTTACACCACCATTTTCCCCAAGCGTGAGTGACTAACGCCTCGCCAAACGCCCCGACCGTGTCGAGGAGATGGCCCATATCGAAGAAGGATTTCGTATAGAACGCGCACCTGTACTGAGCAGCCTGCGCCATGCACACCAGCGACCTCGCTTGAACTATCCGCGTTCGGAAGTCCGCGCGGATTCCCTCGGTGAGCGCTGGACACCCATCGACAACATGAGGAAGAGTGCAAACCCAAGAATTCTGCGCGTACCTCTGAAATGGTATATGCATGTGCATTTCTGGCCTTCGAGCAAGGAGCACCCAATCCCTCCCGAAGCAGCGGTGGCCCAGCCCTCCCCCCCTCCGCTCCGATTGCTGAAAGGCTCGTTGGCACCGCAGAGCTCACAACTCGACCCTCGGACTCTCAGCATGCCCGACGAAGCCTGCTTCAGCGATCGACATCGACGAAGAACCGCGCATCATCGATCCCGTGAGCCGTGATCCCGACGACGATAGGGGCACGGAGGAGATCGCCCGTGATCCCGTCGAAGAGAAGTCAAGATGCCCCATGCTGGCGGGGCGGCGGAATGGTATCTTGGAGCCGTTCGTCCCGCTCATCTCGCAGCGATTCATGATGTCCAGCAGCTCCGCCTCGCGGACAGCGGCGGACTTGTGCGGGGAGAACGGCAGGGCTATGCGGTGGAAGGCGTTGCCCAGGAGCGTCAGGTCGTCGGCGGTGATGCCCTCCGCCCTCAGGAGCGCCTGGGCGCTCGGACTGAGGCCGACGCCAGCGGCGAGTCGCTTGATGGCGTTGTCGCTGGGGAACTTGAAGTCCACACCGGGGCGCTGGATCGAGACCAGATGGATCGGCAGTTTGGCTCGCAAGGCCGTCACGATCTCGATCAGCACCCAAGGTCTAGTGAGCACGTTGTCCGTGAGAAGCAGCACCACGTTGTGGCTACCCCTGATCATGCCAGGGATCTGGGCCGTCTCCTCCAGGTCGTTGGAATCGAGGAAGATCGGCCTTCTGAGGTTGAACGCGGGGTGGGTGGGATTCTCCTTGATGATCCGGCGCATCCCTTCCTCGATGAGCGCCGCGTCCGACCCCGCCTCTTCCTTGAATGGGGGCCCAAAGAATATACACCACCACCACGTCGATTCCTCCTCTCTCCTCTGTCCAGCGAGAGGGAGGGGGGGAGGGAGGTGGTGGTGGTGTATATTTTTTGGCTCCCGATTGAAGTGTAGGCCCCTACCTCCACAGAGGCGTCGGTCATGGCGCAGCCAGGCGGCATCAGAAGCCAGCGGTCGAGGGACAGCGGAGCGGGGCCAGCAGCCCCACTCCCAAGACTGCTTGAAGAGGGAGGGGGAGGGCGCCCTCGGCACCTCAAGCATGGACTTTCGGAGGCCCGTCCAGGTCTGCTGGATCGGCGCTGGACCCCCTCCCTGGATCGTGGAGCGCGCCAGGGGGGGGAAGGGCAGCGCAGATCCAAGGAATTCGCGCGGAGCTCCGAAAGATTACGCTTGCGCTGTTGTCTCTCGTTCGAGCTCAGGAAGGAGGCAGGGAGCAAGATCCAAAGATGTCCAGACCGCCCACGCCCATGAAAGGAGGCGAAAATCGGGCCGCGAGGCTCTTGTTGTATAAGTTCCCGCGCCGTGTAGACTGGTGATTCCTTCGATCTAGCTCAAGGAAGGGTCCGAGTTGGACAAAATATCGAATCGAAAGTACGAGTGAGAACTACGCATGTATCGCAAGCAAGAGTTCGAAAATAAGTACAACACGAACGTGCGAGTGCGACAAAAGTATAATATCGTTGAAGAACCATGAACGAATCAGTGCGATCAAAAGACGAAACACGTACGAACTATACGAATGCGCATCGTGAATCTGAACAACATGTGAAAAATACGAAAGCACATCCAGAGTGTGCAAGGAATGCGAAAAAAGTACGAGTGTGCATCCAAAATGTGAATATGCGAAAGCAACACGGCTGCGCATCCGTATTGATCAGATTCGGACGCTTCTCCTGCTTCTTTCGCACTGAGCTGTTCGAGCCGTATGATTTGCCATAATTACTTGCTTTCGATTCGTACTTTACTGTCCCTGTTTCCATACTCTGCTGAGTTCGTACCGACATGCCAATATGCACGGATGGAAGTCCATCCGGGCCGCAGGTGTGCCGCGTCCCACACCCCGGGCGGTAAGAGCCCCTCAAGTCTGGGTCGTCCTTGAAGTGTGAGATGAAGACGAACGCCCTGTCGTCGGCCATCTCCTGCAAGTACTCCTGGATCAGATGCTTCGGAGTCTCCATTACGTCTGAATGCAAACATTCGCGGGCCCTGTCGTTCAGCCAAGAGACGAAGCAGCTGGCATACTTCAGAGCGAACACGCGTGTGAACTCGTATGCGCTCACGATGGAGGCGAAGTCGCCGTTGTCCATAACCAGCATTGTGCAGTCGCCCTCTGCGAAAAATTCTCCCTGGTTAGTCCACTGCGTCCATAACGCGGCCTCGCTGATGTGCTGGCCTCGATGTCGCATTACCTGCCTCATGTCCGACCCTTCCTGTTCTCTGGCCCTTATGTAGTTCGACAGTGTCCTCCCCATTGCGGAATAAGACTCCGCAGAACGATTGAGCTTCACGTAGGCGCTGGTGCCGGACTCTACGACGAGCATCCGCTTGCAAGAGTCCCCGAGCCCGAACACCAACTCCCCCGAGATCAACGAGATCCCCGACATGGCCTTGCAGCAGAGCTGTCTCAGCAACCGGTCCTTCGAGAGGCCGTCGCGCCTGAATAGCGGCACGAGCTTCAGCAGAGGAAAACGTACCTCCTCGTAAAGCTTCTGCTGAAGCACCTGCGGGAGGGCCTGGACCATCTTGTTCTCAACGTCCATGACGTCCTGCGCAGCGACCCATAGCGACAGCGAAACGGAAAACCGACCGGAACCGGAGCCAAACCAGAACAGACCGAGACCGAAGAACGGAAAGCAACCTGGAAGGGTGCACCGACGCGACGCAGACTGCGTGGGTGTCACATCGCGACGATGTCGGCCTTGGTCTCCGAAACCACTGCTGATCTGTCCGACACCGCAGATTGTTCAGTGTCGGCCGATTCTGGGTACCTGGCGGCCTTCAAGCTTGAGCGCCCGCGCGGGTGTCGCCGCCGCGCCAGCGCAGCGCGAGCCTACCGCAACGGACCGAGCCGCGGACGCCCCAGGTCCTGCAGGGCCCTCCCGGTGGGCTTCCCGAAGTGCAACCGCAGCTGGTACGAGAGCGTGGGGGAGATGCGGCGGCGGCGCAGGTAGCGCCTGGCCGCCTGCTGCATCTGGAGGTTCTGGGTGTCCGTCAGGCATATCATGGCCTGCATCAGGAGGCAACTTTTGGGAGGTCCTTCGTTCGAGCGAATAAGGGCTGTTAGGCTCGGGTAGCTGGCTCTCAAACCGGATTCGGTCAGATCAAGCCCAGAAAGCCGGACTTTGCGGGAGCAAACAGAATTGCAACATGAGTATGCCAGATTCGGTCTGTTTTTGACCATGGGTATACGAGCGCCGATGCTAATTTCAACCTCCCAGGAGTTGCATCCGAACCTGCGTCATGTTGGCGATGAAAAACGCAACAAAGGCGTGGGCGCCCAGGAGCACCAGGCCCTGAAAGGAGATCTCGAGGAAGGTCTGCGGGGGAGTGAGGCTCGTTCCGTGCAGTTGAGTTATCCGCCGACCCCCGCTCGCCAGGGGAGAGAATTCGTGTTCATAGGGGGGATAACCGATGACATGCCGCCGTTGGGAGCCCGTCAGCGTGTCACGCCTTCCCTTTTTGACCGAAAGCCTGGTGTTCCTTCAACGGTAGCACGCTGCTTCCATGATGGCTCACGAAGGGCTCCAACACGCCAGAGAGGCCTCAAGAGCAATCACAATGGCCTCAACAGTCCCCAAGGGAGCCTCAGTATGCAAAATCAATGGGCTCCCTTCGGAAATGTGTTCACGTTCTCCCCCGCTCGGGCTTCCGAGAGTTCAAGACGACCCGAGAGGGCCCCCAGAGCTGCCCCAGACGACCCAAGAAACTCCTAAGGGAACCCAGACACGACTCAGAGGGCCACAAGAGAGCGCCAAAGGCCCCCACGACAGCCAAATGCTTTGATTATGTGTTCGGCTCCTCTGACGTTATCACCTCTCTCCGAGACCATCCAACAGCTCCTGTACGTCGGTCTCCTCGGCAATGAGAGACAACTCTGTAGAATCACTGGCAGGCTGAAGCGGAAATGATGTGAGGTATTTGGGCACAGTGGAATGCTACACAAGGTAGAGGGATAAAACTGATGACACGAAAGTGGCCACGCTGACCAGGAAACGGCGTGACCGTCCTGGCTCCAAGTTCGTGTGCACAATTGTGTCGTGTCTCACACCTTGAGCCAAAATATACGGACGACGTCGTGTCTGGAGCGGAAGGGGCATTGCCACCCCTCCCGCACCCAGAACATGAGGCGAGGTCATCGGTTGCGCTACAAAAAACATACGCCATACAGACTGCCTAGTTTGTCGCCCTGGCACACGTAAAACAACAAACAACAAGCAAACACACAAACAAACAAAGACATGCGTGCGGGCGGACAAATCCTGCCCCCGGGTGAAAGCAATCGTTGACGTGCAACGTGCTCACATATCCGTCACAGTGCCTTTGAGACACGAGTTGGAGTGTCCTTTGGTCCTTGGCCTAGTCCCTTCAGCCTCCGTCCTCCATCCTGAGAATTCTCAACGGGCCCAGAGCCAAAATTGCCAAATATCTCGGGGCGCGTCAGGTGGTCCCTGGGGCCTGAGGCGTCTTCCCACATTACTTGTTCGGGCCTACGAAAGCCCCGAATCGCCGCACGATCGGCCCAAGACGCCCACGAGGGCCCTAGAACGGCCCAAGAGGCCTTCGATACGCCCCAAGAAAGCCCCAAGAGCCTTCCCAAGAAAGCTCCGAGAGGCCAAAAGCATTGCCTGTCCTTAGACGTTTCAATGGTTTGCGTGCTCTCCATGTTTCGAGCCTCCGACGCTCCAAGACGTCCCAAGAGGCCTCCAAGACGACTCCAAGACGGCCCAAGAGAAGAGGGCCCCAAGACGGCCCAAGAGGGCCCCAAGACAGCCAAAGAGGCGCCCCAGACAGCCTAAGAAGGCCCCAAGAGGAGCACAAGAGGGGGAAAACGAAACGAATATCCGAGCCTTCCGCCCAAAGTGGCACCCAGAAAGCCCCAAGAGGCGCCCCCAAAGGCCCTCAAGAGGCCCACACGAGGCCCACACGAGGCCCCAACAGGCACCCAAGAGGCCGATAAGATGCACAAAGAAGCATCAAAGCAGCCCCCCAGAGGTCAAAACTGCCCCAAGGAGGCCCCCGCGAGGCCTCGACGAGATCCCACCGAATATCCGAGAGGCCTCAGACCCACAACCCAGGCACGGTGGCAGGATGGGCCGAAGACCATTCGACCTGCTTGGCACGGGGACGGAAAGCGCTCGTACCCTCTCAGGGCGCGAGATTGCTTGCTCAGTGTCTTGGAGCCTTCTTGGTGTTAAGACTTTGGCACGTCAGACAAAGTCTTAACACCAAGAAGGCTCCATAACAGCCAACCTTGCGAAAATCTATGAATATGGCCTCTCCGTGCCTTTTGGGTGGTCATTGGGGGCTGGTCTGGGCCGAAATGGGGCCCTCTTGGGTCGTCCTGGGGCAGTCTTGGGCAGTCTTGGCCAGTCTTGGAGGGCTTGGGCCGTCTTGGCGCCCTCTCGAGGACCTCTGGTGCCCTCCAGGGCTGGACCTAAACAGTGTTTTTCGTGTTCGTTCTGTTTTCGTTGTCCCTCGTTTTGTCTTCAATCCGCCTTTACCGCAAAACGACATCGAAACGAAAAAGGCCCACGAAATCGCCAAAGCACCGTTTAGGTCCACCCCTGCTGCCCTCTTGGGGACCTCCTGAGGCCCTCCTGGGGCTCTCTTGGAAACCGATTGGGACCCTCCTAAAGATGTACGCTTCCCCGAGGAAATGGAACAGCGTGTGTCTCTTGGGCGTCCTTTTGTGAGGCCTCGTGGAGCGTCTTGCGGGCCTCCCTGGCCGTCGTGAGGCCATCTTGGGCCCTCTTTGAACGCTCTCGGGCCGTCTTGGGGCCCTCTTGGGCCTCCCTGAGGCCGTCATGGAGCTAGCTTGGGCGCTCGTGGGGGTGTGCTGCGCCGTCTTGGGGCCATCTGAGGCGCTCTTGGGCCGTCTAGGGCCGAACAGGACCGAACATTGGATTAGATCTGGGCCTGGTGAGGCCAACCCCCTCACGCTCCCCATTGCTATTTCGCCAGCCTAACAGATCGCGACGCTTCGCGCGCTTCCCCGGCATCCGCCGCCCCATGTGGCTTGCCGCAGGGGTGCACGGCGTGCCGAACGTCGTGCTGGGGGTTCGGTTCTTTTCTAAAAAACTCTCTGTGGGGTCTCGGCACAGCCCGCTGGCCACCTGGGAAGCCCGTGACAATTCACCCCTCGTTGGTCCAATCGCTTCCAAGACGGCCAAGATGGCCCCAGATGGCCTCCAAGATGGCCCCAAGACGCCTCCAAGACGCCCACGAGCCGAAGATGGTCGAAAGACTCTCCAAGGCCCAAAGATTGCCTGAAGATGGCCTAAGATTGTTTCAAGATGGACCAAGACGGCCCAAGAATACCCCTCCAAGAGGCCTTGAAGACGGCCTAGGACATCAATATCATTGAGTGTCCTTTGGTGTTTGACGGTGTTTGGCTTCTGCTCCTCTTCGGCCTTCCGACGGCCCAAGACGGTCCAAGAGGCCCCCAAGATTGCCCCAAGATCGTCGCAGAGGCCTCCAAGATGGCACCAGGACGGTGCAAGAGGCTCCCAAGACGGTCCCAAGAGAGCCCAAAGGCAACTTATGAGGTCTCCAAGACGCCAGAGATGGCCTTCAAGACGACCCTGAAGCGTCCCACAGAGCCCCAAAAGAGCCCAGAGAGGCTCCCAAGATGGCTTCCGACGGCGTCAGACGGGCCAGGAACGCCGTAAGGCGACCAAAGAGGCCCCCAAGAAGCCCCAAAGACCCCCAAGAGGCCAAAGGAGGCCCCCAAGAGGCCTCAAAGAAACTCCCAGGAAGCTCCCAGGAGGCCCCAAGAATGACCCAAAAAGCTCCCAAGAGATCTCCTCATCCTTCTCCTCATCCTCATATTTCCTCCCCCTCCTCATCATCCTCTTCCTCCCCCATGTGTCCTCCAAAGAGTTTCCACAACGGCTGGGGGAATGCATGGTCCAATACTGTGGCCAAACTTTGCCCAAACATCTGGCCACATAGGCGTACTCTGAAAAGAAGGGGCGGCGGAGATTCGCCGTAGGCGTCTTCGATATGTCAATGCTGCGCCCGATCGCGCTGTACTATCCTGTGCGCTGGCTGGTGCGGCACGAATTCACACACAGGCTGGAACAATCCGATAGCAGATGCGCCGGCATGCCCAAAACCGCGGAGAGGCTGGTACACCCAAAGTTGCACTTGAACGTCGGTCAGTAAATTGTCGGGTGGATGGGCTGGCACGTCCAAACCCTGTCCTGCCAACATGGCCGAAACTCGGGGCGGGAATGCGGGCAAGTATTGCCCCTCGCCCGCAGTGCGGCCCGAGGGCCCTCTCCGACAAGATGGCCCCGAAGACCCCAGTATGCCCACAAGAGGCCCCAACAAAAACCGTCAGGGAGGCCCAAAAGGCCCCCAGGAACGTTCAACAGGCTTCCAGGAGGCCGCCCCCGAGGATTCCAAGAGCCCCCCCACGAAGCCCCGCAACAGTCACCAAGAGACTTCAACAAGGGCTCGTCATCGTCAACCTCCTCATCCTTCTCCTCCTCCTCCTCCTCCTCCTCTTTTCGTCCTGGGCCCTCGGGCCCGCGCCGCACGCAGCAACTGCACCTCATACATAAAACTGATACGCACCATCGGTTTCTATCCATCCTCTTCTGGTATGGGGTCGGCGGAATGACGCAAACCATCTGAATCACCCAGTGCACGGAGAAGATGTACTGCTCGGAGAGCGTCGCAGACTCCATGAGCGCTTCATCAGAAACCCATCCAGAGCTGCTGGCTTGGCCCACGCCGTACCAAATGCACGCGATGATGTGAATGCCGACGCATAGCCCAGCAGTCAACTTCAAAATGTTGACGACGATTGTGAGCCCGTCGGAGGCGTACTGCAACATATCATTGAGCATGTGAGAGAGTCGGCCAAGTCTAAGCAGACGAAGCACGCGCACAAACCGCAGTGCCCGCATGACTGGTATCGCCGTGAGGGCGGTGCTGTCCTTCTGTGAGACCACAAGCCAGTCTGACATGAGTATCAAGACGTCGAAGCAAAACCAAGAGTGGAGATATGCCAACGCGACAAGCTTGGGCCTCATCTCGATAGAGCCCTCCTTGTGGAAGCCAGTCACGAACGACAGCGGGATATCGAAGGTCCAGAAAAATCGAGCGACCCAGTCGAAGAATACGATCAAACCTGGGACACGGCTGAAGCTGTAGAAAGTGTACAGAGGCACGGTTATCGTGTCGTATGCAATCAGAAGAAGACTCAGAAAGCTCCAAAGTGTCCCAAACCACCGCGAGGGATGCACCATCAGCCACTCTGACACGAAACCTGACGACCTGAACACGACCACATCACAATCAGTCAGCTCCTCAAAGATCCTTGAGCTCGAGTTGATCTTGCGCAGCTCCAGGCTGGCCTCCTGGGGGTCGGCGAGGTGGAAGATCGGCACAACGCTCACCTGAGGGACAAAACCACCACCAACAGCGCGAGGCGCCAGGGTCCCCCTGGTGATGTGGTCCCCCTCCCCGCTCGAGACATTGCCCATCCCCAGCTCGGGGAACCATCGTGGACCTCCTCGATGGTGGCGGCACCCCTGGTGGTGGTGGTGGTGGTGTCGCTTCTACTTCCTCCGGGCAGAGGAGGGGCGGCGGCAGCAACAGCAGCAAGGGCACGGGGCAGGGGAGAAGGCGGAGGTGAGGGGCAGCGTCAGTGGGGGACAGTCTACGGGGGGGGGGGAATGTCGAGCTCGAATCGGCGATGCATCGACGATGGGTCGGTACTTTGCCCCCGACAGCGAATCTCGCAGGTTCCTGGGCGCAGGTGTGGCTGTCGGGCCTCCCATCGGCGGTGAAGTGGAAATCGGGGCCGATGCGCTCCCCCCCAGGAGACGATCCCCCCCTGACATTGCCCCTGACACTCCGCTCCCTGACCACAAGTCGGGCCTCTGGCGGCCGTTCGGGGCGATCCGGGCAGCCCTGGACGCCCCTCGGCAAGGCGAAGCTGCCGGAAAGCACCCCACGGCTGGAATGCCGCCGAGACATGACGAAAACGCGCGGAAACCTCAAATTTCGAACCTCGAAAGCTCGCCCCCCCCCTATCACCCAGCTCTCCAAGACGCTGAAAGTTGGACAGCTCGAGGCCGCCGACTCGCTCGTCTCCAGCGTGCCCAGCGACATGCGGCCCGACGTCGGCACCTGCTCCGGGCCTTCGGAGAGGTAGCTCTGCTCGGCAACCACCTCCGAGCGAGAGGGCTCGGACTCCAGCACGGACAACTTCTCAAAGACGTTCACCGTCTCGCTCTCGCGCCGCTGGTCGTCGAGCTCCCGCCTGCGCAGGATGGCTGAAGGTCGAATCGGGGCATCAGAGCGGCGGTCGAAACACACAGAATCGGTCAACGCAGTCGCGAAAAACAACCCCGTGAAACCCTTGATATCAAAACCCTCCTGCCTGTGCTGGTCAAGCAGGCGGGCCCTCAGCGAGTCGAGCTCCATCAGGAGGCCCTCGAAGCCAAGAGCCACAAGATTCTCGCTCGCCCGCGCGCGCGCCTCCACCTTTGGGGAATGTTCCGCCATGGCCGAGTCACTCGAGGCATCAGACAACCCACAGATGGCGGCTTGAGCCCAAGGCACAGTCACCCCGGTCAAAAGCATGAGCCCCTTCGCCAGAGGCTACAAGCCCAAACGAAGAGCGCGCCAAAAAGGATGACCCCGCAACGAAGAACATGAGTGTACCCGCACGCTGCTGCTGCGCGCGCGCACGTCTGCAGTGGACACATGAGCCAGCGCAGATCAGAACAATTGCCCGCGGCTCCGCCCCCATGCTTGCGCCCACCCCGCGTTGCTGGTACACTGCGCGGTGATCGTTGATCGCACGAGCCCAGCCAGCCCGCTCGGGCCCCCAGCGTTAGGTCGGCTGTGTCCCCCTACAAGGGGATTTTGGACGAAAAATAAGAAATAGTCAAGCAATACCCCCAAATGGTCAAACAATTACTCCAAAAATAGTCCCCAGACTATTTTTTGACTATTTTTGAACATTCCTCCTGTAGAGGGACAGGCCCGACTGAACCCCAGCGCCCCGCGGCCCATCACCTCGGCTGAAATACACGAGTGGGCACCAAAGCACGCAAGAAACAAACCGGCGTCGGAGGCCCTGGGGAGGAGGTCGAGGAGCAAGCGAAGGAAGAGGTGAGGATCGGGCGGGGGATGTCGAAGGAGACGATGGTGAAGAGGGCGGGGATGAGGCTGACGATTATGGAAAAAAAGGTGGTGATGACGATTCGGAGGTGGACAAGCACTGGAGATGAAAGCATGCGGAGCAGATTCGGGGCAAGGGGAAGGAGGATCATAGAACCGCTTGGGTTGAGCCCAAGTTATGCTTCAAATCACGTGTTGCCTCCGTGTTGTAACCAAAGTCGACTCCCAAAGCAAAACGGTTCTCTGAGGGGGAAGGAATGAGGGAGCCGTGGACGAGGCCCTCCTCCTCTCTCCTCCCTCTCAATTCCCTCCTTCCTTCATCCTCCCTGATGTCTCACACCTCCTCCCTGTGGCCTCCTGTCCCCCCCCCCTCCCTTCTCGCTCATCCTTCCTCCATCCCCCTCTTCCCTCTCCGCTTCCCCTCAAGCAACCCAGGCCCAGAGTTCCCTTGCCCCGGCCGGCTCCAGGACCTCCGCGCGGTGCTTGGGGGATCTCGTCGCAGCTGTCGGATGTTCGACCGCCTTTGACGTTAACAAACACTGGAGTTTCAAGCGGTGCTACGGGATGGGTGCCAGAGAGTCGCGGCCAAGGCCCACCCCGAAGGAGCGCAAAACCCGGCGGGCATGGGCACAGTGGTCGGCTGAGCGAGCCATCCACCGCCTCACCCGCGAGGTGGAGCAGCTCGGCAAGATGCAGTATGTGGACCCCAACGTCGTCAGCTACAGCGTTGGGAGCAGCGAGTGGGAACAATATGGACAGTGGGATCCTCCGCAGGACACGGCAAGAACGTGGAGTCAGAATGGCAGTGGCAGCAGCGAGGAGAGCCGGAAGCGAAGCACGATCCCAATGCCATCAGCTACAACGACGGGAGTGTGTCGCACGACGCGAAGGTCGATCCCGACGTCGCCAGCCACAGAACCGTGGACAACACATGCGAGAATTCTGGAATGGCGGCACTGGCAGTGACGAAGTACGAGCCCGATGCCATCAGCTACAACGACGAGGCTGTGTTAGCTGACGCGAAGGTCGACTCCGACGCCATCAGCTAAAGACCCGTGGGCGACACATGCGTGAAGTCTGGGATGGCGGCAGTGGCGGAGACGAAGCACGAGCACAATGCCATCAGCTACAACGACGGGGTTGCGTCGCGTGACGCCAAGGTCAAGCCCGACGTCATCAGCTACAGACCCGAGGACGGTGCATGCGAGAAGTCTTGGATGGTGGCAGTGGCGGAAGCAAAGCACCAGCCCAATGGCATCAGCTACAACGACGGTGCATGCGAGAAGACTTGGATGGCGGTAGTGTCAGTGACGAAGCACGAGTCCCATGCCATCAGCTACAACGACGAGGCTGTGTCGCGTGACGGGAAGGCCGAGCCAGACGTCATCAGCTACAGACCCGAGTACGGTGCATGCGAGAAGTCTTGGATAGCGGCAGTGGCAGTGACGAAGCACGAGGCCCATGCCATCAGCTACAACGACGAGGCTGTGTCGCATGACGGGAAGGCCGAGCCAGACGTCATCAGCTACAGACCCGAGTACGGTGCATGCGAGAAGTCTTGGATGGCGGCAGTGGCGGAGACGAAGCACGAGCCCATGCCATCAGCTACAATGACGGGGGCCGGACGCGCGGTGCGAAGTCGAGCCCGACGTCGTCAGCTACAGAATTGAAAATTACCCTGGCGACGTACCCAACCCCTGTTTGAAACCTGATATGCTCTCTCTGCTGTCGGGCTGGGCGCAGCTCCTTTTTTCCTCGAAGCCGAGAAGCGCCACAGGCTGGCGCCGATCCCGGGCGCAGGCCGCCCGGCACAGCTGAAACCTGGGGCCCCAGGCTTGGGCCCGCAGTAGTTGCGGGAGCACGGGAGATGGGCAGAGGAAGAGCAGAGAGGAAATGGATAGGCGGATTGAGGCGAGCCTGGAAATCTTCACACGCCCTCGAAAGGAGACGCCGAAAACCGCCTGGCTCCTCAATCTGCGATGTCCCGCATCTCACTAGCTCTCACGAGTTTGTCATTATGCCTCTTCTCCGTCTTCCTTGAATCGATGGCGGTCTTGCGGCTAGCACGTTGCATGCTCTTCCTCATCTTTAGCGCCGCCGCCGCCGGGCCCTGCACCGAGCGCCACTTGGCCTCCCGCGGCACTTTATACAGGTAGACCTTGCCCACCCCTAGCTTCGCCAGCACGTCGGCGATATTCTGCGAGCCGTCGATCCACCTGAGGCGGGTGTCCTCGCAGCGCAACACCTCTCTGAGCAGAGCGCCCTCGATCGCCATCCTCTTGTCCTTGCTCTTCGTCGAGCCCTCCTTCGTGAGGCGGTCGTAGACGGACTTCGCGTCCGTCGCCCAGAAGCGGGGAAGCCGCTGCACCTCCCCCTGCCAATTGAGCAAGTCCACCGAGACATTCATCGCCTCTCTGAACAGCACCGCCGCCCAGTCGACGGCCTCCACTGCGTCTACCAGGTGACTGGCCTCTGCCGCCAAGGTCGAGCGGCGCACTCGCTGAGTCATGCCACTCTTCCAGTCCAGCGCCGCCGCTGGTGCCTGATGTCCGGCCAAGATGCTGCCGGTCGTGAGGAGCACCACGTGGCCGCCTCAGCACTTGTAGCGCTCGATGTCGTCGTGCTCTGGGCCATTCGCATGGCCCGCGTCCACGGCCGCGCCGGCCGCAGCGCTGGACAGCCTCAAGTTGGCCGGGTAGACCAACGCGACCTCGGCGCCCTTCTTGGCCTCGGACACCGCCAGGTTCGCCTTCACCAGGTCCGCCACACACGGGGCCGCTCGGGCCCTCTGCAGCTCGCCCGCGAGGAAGGCCAGGTCGAGTCGGCACTGTCGACCTAGCCAGCCGGTCTCGCCGGAGACCCGCAGCAACTCCTTCGCCTCGTCCTCGTTCAGGTCCTCTTGCAACTGCTTCCTCCAGGCTGCCGGGATCTTGATCGGCTTGAGGGAAGTCGCGTAGTTCACCATCTTAACCACGAAACAACTCGGATAACTCGAGAACTCCCGGCCGCGGAAGGTGAAGGGCAGCTCGTTCCACTTCCGCTGGAACGTGCCCAGGACCTTCAGCGGGAGGTCCGGCAGCTGCATGTCCTTCATCCTCGCCACCAACACGTCGTCAACGTGCGAGACCGCCATGCCCTTCAGCTGCCCGTCCATGCGCTTGTAGAAGAGAGCCGGCTCCAGGCGCGATCGAAGCCAACCGTCGGCCAGCAAGGCATCACGCAGCGCTAGCCAGAATAGCCTCGCTGCCTCCGCGAAGCCGTAGATGGCCTTGCGGGCCCTCAACAGCTGGCCCGGGACAAGGCCAGGTGGGCCCCCTCGGGGCTGCTCCAGGTAGACCTCGCGCTGCAGGTCCTGCCCATTGAAATAGGCGTTCTTGACGTCGCCCAGGGAGAGGGCCATGCCCATGGCCGCCGCCAGCGTCAGGAGCATCGCCTCCGCCAGTCGCGAGGCAGCGGGGGCGTCCCGCCTGAACATGCCCAGCAAGCGGTCGCGAAAGCCCACCACGGCCAGGCGGCTCTTCGCGAGCAGCGGCAGAGGGGCTCCGGCCTCATCGTACTTCCCGTCGTTCTTGTCCGTGTCCACCCAGCGCATCGGGATGATGATGTTGGCCTTGTCCGAGCGAAGCGCCTCGCTCTCATCTGGCGGGACCGGCTCGGCTGCGTCGAAGTCCTGCCAGGAGCGCCACTCTGCGTCGCGGCTGCCACCTCGATCCAGGAACACCCGGCGCTGCTCCTCCGGAAGGCTGCCGAGCTTGATCTCCCTCCTCCCAGGCTTCTGCGTCAGGAAAGCGTGCTCGAACTCGTTCCGCGTCAGCCCGAAGATGAACTCCTCCCTGCCGATGCCCTCCTGGACAAAAAAAGGCCTCGTCCTGCTGGTACGTCTCCAAGCCTGCCTCCGAGAACTCGCCCAGGTCGTTGTCCAACACGAACGCCGCCGAGTCCATGGGCGCCTGGGAGCTGGATCCTGCAGTCCCCTGTCGGATTGAGACAGGGACATCATCCAGCAGGCGCCGACGCTTAGCCTCTCGCTCCCGGCGCTCCTCCGCCTCCTCTTCCTCCAGGAGGCTCCCTGGGCGCCTGCGCCGAGAGGCTCTCGGCTCGGGCTCCGAGTGCACCCCGTGGGTGTCTGGGTGCCAGCCGTCGTCGTCGTCCCTCATGATATCCTGCGTCGCTGCGTCAAACTCCGCCGCGTCGAAATCCAAGTCGGGCGGCGCGGGCACGTCCTCAGCCCCACTGCTGGGGCTGGCGCCGCGGGCGGCTCGGGCGCGGCTGGCGCCGCGCGGGGAGCCTCCGGCTCGGGCGGGGCCGGGGCGGGCTGCGGCTCCTCCGGCACCTCCGCCTGCGGCCCGACGTCCATGCCGCTCTCGTCGCCCTGCTCGGCGGGCTCCTGCCCCGCCGCTGCGGGGGGCTTGGGCCGGCCTCGCAGGTCCACGAAGCCGCTGCCGCCACTGACGGGCGTGTCGTGCACCAGCTCCTGCTCCTGCTCCTGCGCAATCGATCTCCAGGCGTGGATCTCGTGGCCCGTCGCTGCGGCCAGGTGCTCCGGGCTCGCAAGCACGGTGAGGCCACGGAAGGCGAGCCACACTCCATGCCGGCCCTCATGGCCGATCACACGCGCCAGCCCTCGCCAGTTGCCTGGATGCTCAGGCCGATGCTGATGCTTGGCTGGCTGCGCCTGGTCGTAGAAGAGCACCCACTGGCCCGCAAGGAACGGCCCCCTCGTCGGTCGTATTTGTCGAAGCTCCGCTCGTCGAAGTCGATCCTCCGTGTCGGTCTGGATGAAGGCCATCCTGCACTGGGTCCTGATCTCAACCTTGCGGGCGAAGCGCGAGCCCGGCGTAGCCGCTGCCACCTGCTCGCCCACGCGCTCCACCTCGGCGTCGTCCGCGAGGCTCGCCAGGAGGCGAACGTCCCGGCCGAGGACCCAGAGGTAGGGGCTGAAGCCAGCCCGCCGGGAGAACGTGTTCTTCGCCCTGTTGCACTTCGTCACTGCCGTCCTCATCTCCTCAAGGCCCGCCACCTGCTTGTCGTGCACCACCCTCGTGAGCATCGAATTCCAGATGCCGTCGCGACGCTCCATCTTGCCGATGTGCCACGGCGAAGCCAGAGCGGCCGAGTCCAGGCGCACGCCCTCCTGCTCCAGGTAGTCCGCGAACTCGCCTAGGAAGGACCGCGCGCGGTCCATCATGATCGCCTCCTCCGGTTGGCCAGCCCAGGAGACCCAGCAGAGCTCGTAGAACTTCCTAACCTCCGAGGCCTTGGGGTTCTTGCGAGTGTCCTCCAGCAGGCAGACCACGTGGAAATTCGTCCCCATACACATGACGCCCAGGAACTCCCAGTTGTTGCCGGCGCTGTCGACGTTCTCGAAGCAGTCCATCGCGAGCAGCACGTTAAACTCGTCGACCCTCGGGAGCTGGCTCGGGCGCGGGATGCCGGGTCGCTGCGCTCGCCGGCAGCTCTCGCAGACGAAGAGCCTCGCCGCCTTCAGCGCCAGCGCCGTCGCCTTGCCCAGGCGCAGCGCACTGAGCAGCGCTGGTCGCGAGGGGTGCCCGAGGTTCACGTGCGCCCTCTCGATCGCCCTCTTGACGGCCCTCGGCAACAGCTCCCGGCGTCGCTTCCTCTCCCGCGAGGCGTCCCGCTGCTGTGCAGCAGCCGGCCCCTCGGGCAGGTCGCCACGCTCGTAGCCTGCGAAGTAGAAGACCACAACGTCGTTCTCGAGTAGATGTCTCGGCAACCAGCGCCGCCGTGCCTGCAGGGACTGCTGCGACCAGTCCTCGAAGTCTAGCCTGAAGAGCTGGTCGCCCTTGAGCGCGGTGACCATCCTGAGCGGGGCGTCTGCGGCGTGCAGCTGCGGCTGCACCGTCTGGGGCCGCTGACCTCCGCGTCTGGCCTTCACCATCTTCAGCGGCTCGCTGATGACTCCTCCCAGCTCCTCCAGGAAGAGGTCCGAGCCCCAGATGATCGTCTCGATATCATCGCCCATCTTCTCCAGCAGCCTCCTGTGCCAGCTCCGAAACGCGTCCAGCTCAGCACGCAGCTCCACCGTCAACAGCTCGAACTCGCCGTGTTGCGCACGCCGCCCCCGGCGAAAGCCCAGCGGGCGTCCGCCGGGAGGCGCGCCGCGCTCGCGGCGAGCAAGCGCTCGGCTGCGCCTGGGCCCAGCGGGCACCTCGGCCGGTGCCTCTGGGGCCTCCGCCGCCGCCTCGGCAGGCGGCGCGTCCTCTCCGAGAGGCGGGCCCTCCTGGTGCACCTCCTCTGGCACAGGCTCTCCCCGCGGCGGGCTCCGCGATCGCGAACGCTCGCGAGGGAAAGCATCCTCCACCAGGAAGGCCGCATCCATGACCAGCGAGCTGCGGTAGTCGATCTGCATCTGCTGGAGCACGCCGCGACAGAAGGCCTTCGCGAGGCCCACAGGGTAGCTGCCGCCTGCTGCGCCCTTAGCCACCCGAGTTCCTCCCGAGCAACTGCTGGTGGGCGCCGGGCGGACATGTGCTGTGCTTGCTCAGGTGGTTCGCCACCGCCGCGCTGTTCGTGACCCACCCTGTCGGCTTCATGATCGGCTTGCCCGTGTCTTTGTCGCAGGCTCCGTGGGCGCATTGATCTCCACGCACAAACACAACGCCTTCCAAATCCCACAAACGTATCAGGATGTCATCGTACTTCCAAGAAAGTGCTGTCAACGGCTGCTCTATCAAGACATACCGTCCTCTCCCATGCACGCATCGAGATACCCGCCGAACAAGCAGAAAATAACGGCGAGCACTCCTGCGGACTTCCCCCCAGTCGGTGAGCTTGTTCATGTTGGTCATCAGGGACCACGGATGACAAGGAAAAGCCAGCACTGTGACGTAAGGCCAGTGCAGGTCGAGGATCCAGTAGAGCAAGGCCCGTCCAGGGCCCTTGAGCAGGTCGTAGTCGGGGGAGTGGTCCACATCCAACGGCTGAGACTGCATCCAACCGTACTCCTTCGCACCGTAGCGCGTCAGGATGTGCTCATCACCGAACGGCTCAAACACCACCGTCGTCTGGAAGTCGGCGGTCACGAAACGCTCCGCCTCGAACCTCGGCCGAAGTAGCTCTCCTCGTAGGCGTCGATCCTCTCCGCGAAGCTCTCGCCGGGTGGACTCGAGCTTCTTCCGAGTCGCCTTGGAGAGGATCCCTGTCGCATCGGTGGCGAGCGCGCCGCGATCCTTCGACGGGAAGGCGTGGCCAACCTCCTCCTCGACCCGGATTTCCTCGCCGTCGGAGCCCTCGAAGGCCGACTCCTTCTGCGCCTGCGCGAAGAAGAACTCCGAGCCCCGATTCTCCGGGGCCGCCGTCGCGGGCCCCGAACGTCGCGGGCCCCGAACTCGAAGTCACTGCCGATCGGTGACCATCACCACCCCAGTCATCGAGTCAAACTGCCAAGTGACCGCCCACCTTGAGCAGCTGCACGTCCACCGCGAGCGTGCAGCTCCATCCGCATCTCCTTCAGGTGGAGCACGGCGCCCAGCGCCTCCTGCGACGCCAGGCTGACCAAGAGCGGGGTGTCGCAGTCCTCCATCTCCGCGCTGAAGATCACCCCGCGGCGGCCGCCGAGGGCGACCAGGATCTCGACCACGCGCCCCTCCTGCCTCTTGCCGAAGGCCGAGGAGAAGCTCCTCGAGCGGCCCGTCATCTTGATCTCCAGGCCACGGGGGTGCAAGCACCTCTTCTCGAACAACTCCCGCCAGCGCTTGCCGTGCGTACATCTTGCGCAACCGGTGTCGATGAGCGCCACTAGTACGTCAGACGAGTCACTGTCTTCACTCACCATAAGCACCATCTCCAAAGATCCTTCCCCGGGTAATGGGCGCACATGGCGCCCACGATGGGGCCCCTCTGGGCCCCGGGGTGGAGGGTGCTCAAGCCGAAGACGGCGGCGGCCGCGCCTCGCGCAGCCGCTGCTCGCCCTCGTTGTAGTTCAGCGCGGTCCGGGAACCAGCTGCACCCGAAGAACCAGCCGCCTGCCCGATGGTTCTGACGAGCCACCAGCGCCTGGGAGCACTTCGGGCACGGTAGCACCTCGTCGTCCTTCACCGTCGGCGGGGCCGTGCTGAAGCTGTCGCTGACCACACTCGTGCTGTCGCCGACGTCGCTGCCCACGAGCTTGAAGGAGCCGAGGTCGGAGCCACGGTCCGAGCTCACCAGGAAGGCAGAGTCATGCTCCACGTCGTCCAGCACGAAGAGGGTCACGTCCTTCCGCTTCTTGGCGCTGGTGCTGCTTAGTGGGTGCGGGCTGCTGCCTGAGGCCGAAGAGCTGCTCCAGGCCGGGCGCGAGAGCGCCGCTGCTCGCCCGCGTGGGTCTGCTCGGCCCTTCGGCTTTGCTGACGGCTTCGGCTTCTTCGGGCCCATAGGACACTCCGGGTCCCCGGCCCAGTGGCCGAGCTTGCCACGCGCCCCGCAGTGCGTGCGCTGCTTGTCCTTCGCGATCTCCGCCTTGCGCTCCTCGAAGGTCAGCGCCCCCTCAGCCTTGAAGAAGCCACGCTTCCTCTGGAGGTCCCGAACCTTGGCCCGTGCGGTGTCGTAGGCGGCGCACGCACTGCTGATCGCCTCGTCCTGGCTCGCGCCAGCGTCGCTGGCGAAGTCGCCCTCCGCGTCGCCGTCCTCGTAGGCCTCGTAGACCTCGTCGTCGTAGTCCTCGTGCTGCTCCTCCTCCTCGTCGTCGATGTCGTCCGTCTCGATGTAGTACGCCCTCGGCTGCCTCTTGGACTTGTCCTTGCCCCTGCCTCCGCCCTTCGGGCGCCCGGCTGAATGGGGTGGCGGCGGCCGAGGAGTCTCCTCCTGCAGGTGGAGGTCGTGGTAGTTCGTCTTCAACGTGTTCTCGAAAGCCTTCGTCTCGTACTTGTTGTCCGCCACCATCGTGACCAGCCGCTTCTGGTTGTCCGTCAGCATCGCCCCCTCGCGGAGGAAGTGCGCGTAGAGGTCGTCGCTGAGCTTCGTCCCGGCGTCGAGCTCCGTCAGCTCGTTGTACTTGTTGTGGAAAGTCCTCAAGTACTCAACGATATCCTGGCCGCGCTTGCGGCGAGACCGTTTGAAGAAGTCGTCGAACTTCTGCTGCTTGCGTACAACTGCTACCTTGTCCAGGCGGTCGAGAGCCTCGATGATCCTCTGGTGCGAGCCGTCCTGTGTGAGCGCCGTCGTGTCGTCCAGGAGAGGCTCCACCGCCTTCCACGCCCGGCCTGCGAGGCCGCGCGTCGGGCGCAAGCCCAAGTTCGCTCGCTTCTCCCTGCCGGCCTCCGTTGCGCTCGACTGCGTGCTGTATTCCACCATCACTCTCATTCGATATTCCCGTAGAAGAGCTATGTTCTCACCATCCCAATGCGGGATGCCCTCTTTGTCGACAAAGAGCTCCTCCGCGGACTCGTCTGTCATTCGGGCCATCCTTGCCGCCGTAAATCGAAAACCTTGCTCCGCGACCAGTTTGAACCCAGATCTGCTCTCTCTGCTGTCAGGCTGGGCGCAGCTCCTGTTTCTCGAAGCCGAGAAGCGCCACAGGCTGGCGCCGATCCCGGGCGCAGGCCGCCCAGCACAGCTGAAACCTGGGGCCCCAGGCTTGGGCCCACAGCGGTTGCGGGAGCACGGGAGAAGGGCAGAGGGAAAGCAGAGAGGAAGGGAATAGGCGGGTTGAGGCGAGCCTGGAAATCTTCACACCCTGCGCAACGCGGGGCATGAGTCGATTGGGAGTCGTTATACGGAGGTGATGACGTGGCATGGGCGCATATACTTCTGCGAGCGGCATTCGTGAAGCTCGCAGCCCCCCAAGGATTGCGATGTCCCGCTCAGATCTGCCTGGTTCCTCGCTCCAGGTCCGCGCGGTGCCTCACTCCGCAGGACCCACCAGCAGCCCTCGAAAGTGGCGACAGTTTCGCAGATCGCAGCCCCCCCAGGGACGGCGAGGTCCCGCTCAGATCCGCGCGGTGCCTCACTCCACAGGACCTACCAGCAGCCCTCAAAAGTGGAAACAGCTTCGCAGATCGCACCCCCTCAGGGACGGCGAGGTCCCGCTCAGATCCGCGCGGTGCCTCACTCCGCAGGACCCACCAGCAGCGCTCGAAAGTGGCGACAGTTTCGCAGATCGCAGCCCCCCAGGGACGGCTAGGTCCCGCCCAGGTCCGCGCGGTGCCTCACTCCGCAGGACCCACCAGCAGCCCTCGAAGCGGCGACAGTTTCGCAAATCGCAGCCCCCCAGGGTCGGCGAGGTCCCGCTGATGTCCGCGCGGTGCCTCACTCCGCAGGACCCACAGGCAGCCCTCGAAAGTGGCGACAATCTCGCAGATCGCAGCCCCCCAGGGACGGCGAGGTCCCGCTCAGATCCGCGCGGTGCCTCACTCCGCAGGGCCCACCAGCAGCCCTCGAAAGTGTCGACAATTTCGCAGATCGCAGCCCCCCAGGGACGGCGAGGTCCTGTTCAGGTCCGCGCGGTGCCTCATTCCGCAGGACCCACCGGCAGCCCTCGAAAGCGGCGACAGTTTCGCAGATCGCACCCCCCCAGGGACGGCGAGGTCCCGCTCAGGTCCGCGCGGTGCCCACTCCGCAGCACCCACCAGCAGCCCTCGAAAGCGGCGACAGTTTCGCAGATCGCAGCCCCCCCAGGGACGGCGAAGTCCAACTCGAATCCGCGCGGTGCCTCACTCCGCAGGACCCACCAGCAGCGCTCGAAAGTGGCGACAGTTTCGCAGATCGCAGCCCCTCAGGGTCGGCGAGGTCCCGCTGATGTCCGCGCGGTGCCTCACTCCGCAGGACCCACAGGCAGCCCTCGAAAGCGGCGACAATCTCGCAGATCGCAGCCCCCCAAGGACGGCTGGGTCCGGCTCAGGTCCGCGCGGTGCTTCGCTCCGCAGGACCCACCAGCAGCCGTCGAAAACGGCGACAGTTTCGCAGATCACAGCCCCCCAGGGGCGGCGAGGTCCCGCTCGTGTCCGCGCGGTGCCTCACCCCGCAGGATCCACCAGCAGCCTTCGAAAGTGGCGCCCCTATCAGAACTGGTCACTATGTTCCCAATTCCCGCCCGCTCCTTTGCCCTGCCCCTCCCCCGTTTCTCCTCTACTTGCCGCCCTCCATTTCCCCGAGCGTTTCCCAATTGCCCCTGGCCCCTGCGCGGCAAACGCCCGCGCCCCCCCGCAGCTGAAAGACTCGCCTTGCGCTCATTCTCCAATCCACTCGCGAGGCGCATGGCTTGATTCCACATTGATACTGGCAAGCGACGTCGAAGCCACGGCAAATCCGACAGGCGCGATCGGCCCCCTCGAATGGCGGGCGAACCGACACGTAAGACGATGTCGCAAAAGTAAGTTTGGAATTGTGGGATCCGCACAAGAAGCTAACCCACTCGCCCAAAGTGTAGTTATGTGCCTGTCCGATCCTCGTTATCCCAAACCCCCCTCCCCCCGCCGCCCCACCCCTGCTCCTCCCCCCTCCTCGAAAGAAGCCCAAAACCCATCATGATCTCCATGGGCCCTCTTCTGAGGGCCCCAACTGAAAAATCCAACGCCAAGGAAACCACGCTCACAACAACTAGTCTCCTCTCTCATTTATCCTCCCCCCCCCTCCTCCCACACTCACCCCTCTTCCTCTTTCATCCCCCTTCTCGATCCTCCTACTCCTCCTATTCCTCCTCCTCTTCCTCCTCCTCCTCCTCCTCATCAGCATCATCCTCACTGCGGTCGTCAGCATCGGCAGCCGCATCAGCATCAACAGCAGCACCAACATGATAATCAGATCCTGCTGCACCCCAGGCCACTCTAAACATGTCTGCGCGGCGGGCGCCCGAGGCGATTCCAGCGAAGGCGCAGCAGCGAGCGAACGAGACAGACGTGAGAGAGAGAGAGAGAGAGAGAAACAAAAAAGAGGAGGAGGAGGACCCAACGCACCCACACAACACCGAGGAGGAGAGAAAGAGAAGAGGGAGAGGGAGGCGGGCCAGCAAAAGGCTTGAGCCGACGCGGTCGCGGCGAGATGCGCGACCACGACGGCCTGCGGCCCCGCCTGAGATGAAATGTGCAAACACGGCCAGATCCTGCTACACCCAAGGCCACCCTAAACATGTCTGCGCGGCGGGCGCCCCGGGCGATTCCACCGAAGGCGCAGCAGCGAGCGAACGAGACACACGGGAGAGAGAGAGAGAGAGAGAGAGAGGAGGAGGAGGAGGAGGAGGACCCAACGCACCCACACAACACCGAGGAGACCCGAGCCCGAGAGGAGAAGTGGCGACGGCAAGACGGCGCCGAAAGTGCATAAACTTAAAGAGGAGCACACATAATATCAACTAGGGTACTTACCAGAGACAGGACAGGCAAGAAAAACCGAACGCTTGAAACCTTGAGCTCCTGTTTGTCTTGCAGTTGAATCAGAAAAACATGCACAACTTGACAGGATGAGGTCCGGCAAGGCGGGTCCACAAGATCCCCGAAACAGGGTCAAGGCCAGAGAGGACTATGAGGGGCTTACCAGAATAAGAACATAGGCCCTTTCTATAGCTGCACCGCGGCCTCACGAGAACGTCAGGGTGGCGACGGGCCCAGCAGGCCACGCGCGTGAACTTCCTCCAACGGGCCCCAAACGAACACATGTCGACGTCGAACGACGCGGCGTCGCTGGCCCCCAGTAGGGCCTTCATCGCAAGAGCACTCCAGACCCATGAGCCTCCCGGGTTCTCCAGGTAGACGGGGCCCCCGAGAGCGCGACGCAGTGAGATCAGGACCACGGCGAATCGGAGCTGCTGGTTCCCGAGGTCGACGGCCGCCGGCGGCCTGGCTGCAAGGTTCGGCAGCCCCCAGACGCGGCCTTTCGAGCGGATAGTACACCAAGAAAACCCAGGCGGCCCGCGTCCGGCCAGGCTCCAAGATGAACGCGGCCCAGCGATCCAGACAGCCGAAGCGACTCCGCCTCGCACCCGCCCTCGCACGACCTGGCGGACAACAGGATTGTCGAAATCAAACCACCGCTTCGATGCGAAATCCATCGGCAGCGCGGCGAGCCCGCGGAGGCGCAGCGCTGCTGACAGGCGGCCAGTCCCGGCGAATAACCAGGACAGCGGTCCGAAGGGGGACCTTGTGAAGCCTGAAGCTTTCGTGAAGCTTGTTGAGGAGGTGGCGACGGATCGACGTCGTCGAAGGGCCCCCCTCACATGGGCCGGCGAGCTCTACCGCCCGCGCGAGGTCCGGCAGAGCTCGGGCAGCGGCGCCACCAGCAGGAAGACGCGGCATCGCAGCGCCCCTCCGCTGGCCGACGGAGAGCACGCGCTGGCCGACGAGCCGCAGCTCGGTGATGATGCGAGCGCGCTTGGCGCACTGCCAGAAGTTCTTGTCTGAGGCCCAGCCGCCGCGCAGCTGGACGTCGAGGGCGGCTTGACTCTTGGCCAAGGGGCCGTCCGAAGCTCCCCCGTGGCGCAGCCCGCAGTCTGGGGCTGGGAAGTCGCTCGGGCCCAGCGCGCTGGCAGCCTCCTTCGTGCTCGTGACGAACCAGCCTGGAGGGAAAGACCAGATCCGCGAAGATCCCGACGGCGCTCGGCGCCCCAGGCCGAGGAGCGCCGGAACCAGGAAGACAAGGGGGTCGATCACCACGGTGGAGTCCCAGAGGCCCCTCTTCCCTGGCCGTCCCAGCTCACCTGGAGACAGCAGCAGCGAGGCGAGCCCCGCGCCCTCAGCGTCCGCCACGAGGGGGGGGGGCGACCTACATGGTCGTCAGCTGGTCGCGCTCCGACGGCCGGGGGTGGCGCGTGAAGCTCTGGATGGATCATGGCGAGTTCCTCCTCGATCTGGCCGCGGCGCAGCGTCGCGCCAGCCGGCGCCGCCGCCAGCGGCCGCGGCAGCGGCGCGCGCGCGCCGCGGGGGGCGCACTTCCCCCACCCCACCAGGCTGCGGGAGGCCCAGCAGAGCGCCCGGCCGCCCCAGCGGCGCAGCGGCGGCAGGAAGAACTTCTGGGCAGCCAATAGAAGCGAAGCGTCATCGCCGCTGTGACCGCGGAGATACAGGCACTCGAAATAAGCCACCACGATGCCGCCCCGTTGGTCCCAGCGGCTCCAGCCCAGAACGAGCTGCGAGCACCGCCCGATGAGGTCCCCCGCCGACCTCCGGCCTCAGCGTGGCCTTGCTGATAGACCGCGGCTCGAGGTGGGCGATCCCCGCTAGGAGGCTCCCCTGCAAGGCCTCGCGATGGCAGGCGGCTGCCGCCGGCGGAACAGCGGCTGTCAGGATCCCAGCGCCAACAGCCCGGGGGGCGGGCTGGACCTGGGGCCTGCCCAGTCGGCAACGGGGGCCAGGCGGATCGGCCCCGCATCCTCGCGGGAGTCTCGATGATCACGGAGGCGGTCACCAACCAAGAGCCATAGCCACCTCGGCGTCGATGCCCTTGATGTAGCTGAGGCCGCACGAGGGCGCGTC